CTGTGACTTACCCGTGATATATGAGCAGACCCCACATGCTTGCTTTGTGCACTGTGTTGCAACTTTTTAAAACTCTTTTTGAATTATTTAATTTTATTTATTGCTTTAAATTTGCTATAGAGCACATGCGCTCACTGGAGAGAGACAGAAAGTGAGAAAGCAAGCTGCCAGGTCTGGGATTCGAACCGTGGTCAGCCATGTGGGAGCCCAGCACTCCAACCACCACACTACCTGCTCTTCCTGTGTGGCAATTCTTTAACGTCCTCTCTTTGTTCCTCACCACGTGTGTGCAGTGGAGTGACACCTCTACAGCTCCTTTGTATGGAGCCTCGCATGGCAGCCATGTGTCGTGAACACAACGCATTATTCAACCAACTTCTTTGCTGTTTTTGTGCTCTGGCCTGGTGGTCTCCAGTCCCTGTCCCAGTCCTTGCTGTCTTGTGGTGGGACTGGCTTCACTGCGGGAGCCCAGTAGAGGGCAGAGGCGGGCTCCTGGTGGCCCCTCAGCGAGGCTCTCCGTTCTCTTTGCAGGAATCGTGTCCATTGGCCTGGCTGCCGCCTACTACAGCGGAGGTGAGGTACCCACCCTGCGGCCCCAGATGCTTAGAAAACAGGCGAGGACAACCCTTCGCTTGTGGGCATGGCCTGTGGGGTTACCAGCTCCTGTGGTCTCCCCAGCAGCGTTGCCTCCGGGCCGGCGTGCTCTGCGTGCCCACCTGCACGTGACTCCTCACCACGACCTTGCCAGTACCACAGAATATTCTTTGAAAGACGCCCATTATGGGACAAGCCGTCACAAGTCGCGCTGACATTAGCAGAGGCCGTGTACACCCACCTGCCTCCAGGGGCGCCCCAAGTGACCAGGGCAGGGCCAGCAGCCCTCAGGGCCCCGGGTCCTCTCAGATGTGGGCAGTGCCAGCCAGGCCCAGAGGCCCGTCCTGACCCAGGACGTGTCGGGGAAAGTCCATGCTGAGCGGGCCCCCGTGGGTGTGTCGCCTTTGCCTCTGCTGTCACTCACAGGCCGGTGCCCTGCGTCTGTCTCCAGATAGCCTGGGCTGGAAGCTCTTCTACCTCACAGGCTGCCTGTTCGTGGCCGTGCAGAACCTGGAGGACTGGGAGGTGAGGCGGCAGGCCAGGTCACGGGCGGGGCGGGGCGGTGCTTGGGCTGCTGAAATCGAGGACGCGAGCTGTTACAGTGTGCTGGGCGAGAAGAGGATGCCCAGACACAGCGAGATGTGCGGACTTGTTTAAGCCAGCGGCACGCGGGCTCATGTCTGTCAAAACCCCGTAGCCCCTTGGGACCAGCAGTTAGTGTAATGGCTATGTCGCTTGACTCCCATGTAGTCGACCGCGGTTCACTTCCCGGACCCGGTGGTGTGCCCAAGATCCCGAGAGGAGAATGGAGGAGAAGGGAGTGCGGC